AGAAAACTGGATATAAGGAACTGGACAGAAGAAGTATCTAGTGAGGACTATGGCTTTAGGAATTATTTGTGTTCAGAGGCCATCTCATAGATGAGATTTCCTGTAGAGAGTAAGCACATAGCTGAGAAGAGGAAAGTGCAAAGGACAAGTCTCTTTGGAACATGATCACTTTACGGATGGGAAAAAGATTTCATTTCCTCCGAAGGAGAAGAGGATGAGAGTGGTCAAAAGAAGAGGGAGAATTAAGAAGTGGTATCGTGGAGGCCAGAACACAGCTTCAAGGAAGCTTGGGCTGGGGATCAAGGCTAGAGGCTGCTGCAATCAGGGTTTCCTCAGCTAGGGCTCATGACCCCAAATGCTGGTTTCCAATCCTGATTAGAGCCACAGCTGTGTTGCACCTGTATTTCACTTGACTAATTTCTGTCCTAATTCTGGACCTGAAGACAGGGGGCCTGAATTCCTGTCTCAGCTCTAAGACTTTCTTGCCAGGTGGCTTGGCAAATCATTAACTTCTTGAGCCTCATTTTTTTCTTTTGTAAAGTGAAAGGGTTGGACGGTAATTGTTTAAAGTTCCTTCTGGCTTTCAAGAGCTGTGCCCTAACTGTTTTGGTGTTTTGCCAAGCTCTAGCTGCACTGCTAACTGCCAGCCTCTGGAGACTAACCATCCAACTGGATATAAAGTTACATAGCTCTCTTATCTCTCCTCGATTTGTTTCTGTGTTGACCTTCCCTACCCTAGAGATAAATATCCAAGGGAGTAGGGCGGGCAGGAGAAAGAATATATCTTGAGTAGACAAAACTGTCTCTCTGGGGTTTTTCTAAGATAGCAGATCATCAGCTTCTAACTTTGTGGCCTCAAAGAATCACACCTTTTCTCCGGAAAAGAGGGTCCCTCCAGCTCCTAGCCAGAAGAGTTAACTCTTGATTTGCCTGCTTACGAGTAATGTGAACTTTTGAGTGAATTGTTTATGTTCCAGCTGAAATTCATTTGGCTGTTGTGATCTTACTGAACTCTTGCCCCAATTCCAAATCCTGCCCGCCATGCCTCTCCCTACTTGCTGATGTATTATCTGTGTTGGAATCTGATACATTTATCCATAATGTATCAAGTAATATCATTATAATATGTTATCTCAGAAGGTCTCTAAAATGCAACCAGTGGTTTCACTATTGCTATTTGTAGGCAGATACTCAACAACAGGTTGCAGTGACAAGAACTCATTCATAATTCAGAAAAATACTGCTGAGATAACAGTTCTTCTGAAATGTAATTGTGAGCAAGGTAAATATCAGATAGGTATAAAATGTGTCTAATAGCATCATTAGAATAGGACCAAGCCTGGATTGAGAATGGAGAGGAGGCGAGGTGGGGAGGGAGCCTGAAACCCAAGGGCCACCCAACAAATTAAATAAAGCATCACCATAGCTTCCCAAGGACCAGGAAACTAAGGCACAAAGGGGAGCTGTTGTCTGTCAAAGTAACACAGCTAGAACCCAAGACCCCGAGTATCCAGTTTATTCCATAGACATGAAAAGAAGAACTGGTCCTCTTGGGAACTTTATCATATAATGGAACTGAGCCCAGTAACAAGGACGCCGTGTGGCTAAGCTAAGGGAGCTTAAAGTCTGGAAAGAGGATTAAACTGAAAGAGAGCAATTCTCTTTCCATCGCTGCCAATAGTGTGGCCTTGGGCAAATGACAAACTGGCCTCCCCAAACCTATTTCCTCATGTGACACAAGGACATTGTGTCCAGGTGATCTCGAAAGGTGTCTGGAGCTGTAACCTTCAGTTTAGGAAAGTGGCCACATGTAGACATTGGCTCTCTGTAGCTTGCACAGATATTAAATAACTCGTACTCCTGTTCAGCCAAGGCTGAGAATATCTATCAGTGTGTGAATAGATGTCAGGCTGGTGCCGGGGTCCTAGCTACTAACAGCAGTGTCAAGCTGTGCCCGGAACTTAATCTCTAAGGGCAGTGAGGAGGACCGCTGGGAGTTCCTGACAACCCAGCAGGAGGACTCACCTGCAGTGCCCACATTAGCCCAGACTGTGGGGCTCTGAGAGTTTCCCCCGAGAAGCAGCTCGTGGGGCTGGTGTAGAAACATTAGTCGGCTGCTTACCAGGTGGTGGGAAGGTTACTGGGGCAGGAGACAACGTCCAGGACGACTCTCACCGGTGATTTTTTTTTAAATGCATTTTATTGCATTTTAGGTTTTGGGGTACATGTGAAGAACATGCAAGATTGTTGCATAGGTACACACATGGCAGTGTGATTTGCTGCCTTCCTCCCCTTCACCTATATCTGGCATTTCTCCCCATGCTATCTCTCCCCAACTCCCCAACCCCCGCTGTCCCTCCCTTATTTCCCCCCAACAGACCCCAGTGTGTAGTGCTCCCCTCCCTGTGTCCATGTGTTCTCATTGTTCAACACCTGCCTATGAGTGAGAATATGCGGTGTTTGATTCTCTGTTCTTGTGTCAGTTTGCTGAGAATGATTGTTTCCAGGTTCATCCATGTCCCTACAAAGGACACAAGCTCATCGTTTTTGATGGTTGCATAATATTCCATGGTGTATATGTACCACATTTTCCCTGTCCTGTCTATCATCAATGGGCATTTGGGTTGGTTCCAGGTCTTTGCTATTGTAAACAGTGCTGCAATGAACATTCGTGTGCACGTGTCCTTATAGTAGAATGATTTATAATCCTTTGGATGTATACCCAGTAATGGGATTGCTGGGTCAAATGGAATTTCTATCTGCCTCTGATCAAGCATGCTCCGGTGCTCCACTTCAGTGCCTCACGGTGCCCTTGGAGTTGGAAGTAGCCCAGTTCTGAATGCCTTGAGCTGATTTGTGCTGATTAGATCTGTAGCCCTTTGCCTTTCTACTGTTTTCTATTTCTCTTCTTTCCCTTCTTTGTAGCCAGTATAATTGCACAGCTACCAACCCTCAGCTCCCACGCAACTGGCCCGACTCTGTTGCTTCCGATTTCACCTAGGGGCTTCCTGTCTGCTGAGTGGCACCAGAAGAAAGGGACAGACAGAGGCCAGGGTGGTCAGCTCTCTCCTTACCTTATAATCTCAGTACACCTTGGCTGGAGTCATTTCCTGGAGGTCATTTTAGTATAAACAACCAGAATGTTGTCCTCTGTAACTCTACGATGTCTCTTGTAAAATACAGAATACTCACAAGATGGGAGAAGAGAAACAGAGGCAATTTTAGGATTATGACACCATCCTTAAACGGTTCCATGAACAGGGCAAACTGCTGCCTGAGTGTATCTTTATGTATGTAAACTTTCAATTGTTAGATAAAACCCAAAGCTTCCTGGAATATTACTACTAAGTAAAACCTTCCCCTGAAACACACATTCCTCAGTTTCCCTTTAGCTTCCCGGACCACTCAACTCTCTGTGTCCCACACTTCCTGGATCTCATAACTGTCAAGAAAAAGGACTTCAACCTTATTCTTGAAGAGTATCACCAAGCTTCCTGAGAACTGTCCTCGATGGCTTTATCTCCTTTATTGCCCTGGCTAATAGGAGCCTGGCTCATGGCAGCAGAACTGGACCCTTCCCAACTACTGCAGAGAGGGCAGATCCCTTCCATTGCACAGTCCTCCAAAGCAGAAAACGTGCAGGACCCATGGCAATGGGGCTAGCACAGAGGGACACGAGTAATCCAAGTCAGCTACAAATAAACAAAAAGCAGGAGGCTGAATGATCAAGTCCACATCGCTAGAGAAAACAGAAGGTGAAAGTCCAGACAACAGCCGAAAATCCCACGAATATGTCACGGTATGAAATAAAGTCAGGAACCATCCCATCCAATCTGTAGTCCTGTCTTCCATAAAGGAACTCCACCTCAGTGACATTAAGTGCATCCAAACATCTTATTAACAAAGCACTAGAGATCACTTTCAGTAGTTCAAGGGCTCGTGCTGAATCTACAACGTCCCCGACTTCTCCGTGCTCTGGGAGGGGCAGGCATGCGGGAATGGCTGCCCGTGTGCTGGGAAACTTTACTTACGCCAAGAAATGAAATCTTCCGAGCCTTTGAAAGGCCTCCAGAAATGTCAGCACGCACTGCCTGCCCACTCTCTGCTGAATGCCTACTTTGGCTGTCTGCTTAGTACTGAATGTGCCAGACGGGCCTTCATACAAAGACGGAGAGTGTGTTGGGCCCATGAAAGGGGAAGGCACAGCTTTTCCAATGTGAATGGTGAGATTCAAGAAGTAGGTGATGAAGTGGGAGGGCCGGGGGGGTGGGGGCAGGGGCTCAGGAAAGGTGTGCATAAAAGACCGAAAGAGAAGAGCTGGCATCCACCTAGGTGTTAATAAATTCTTTGTCAAAGCTGGAGAGGTGGGTGCCTGCAGGCCTATGATCCATGCTTGATGACATGTCTATAGGCCTTGCTTGTAGTAGATTTTCTCTGGATCCAAGGCTCCTGTCATCTGAGAACAAGAATTTTAGGCCCTGCCAAGGCATATATATGTGTACTTCTGTTGACTCTCCAACTCCAAATATATATGCTCTTTGTACTGTGTGTTACTTGGGATTTTTCTTTTACTCTTTTCACCTCCGGTATAGAAAAATACTGAAAAACGTTCATTGTCGTACATTTGAATATCTAGGAATTTTTTTTCCTTAAGCTTACTTTAAAAAAAGGAAGAAAAACATTTTGTATAGTGAACCGTGCCTTAACTCCGTAACAGTGCTGCTCATAATTCCTTGGCACAGCATCTCCTGCTGGGGGAAAGAACTCTTCTGGTGTCTTGAGCTTTTCCAAGGAGGCAGTCTGATGTCATTGGTGGCAGACGCAGTGTGTATGTATCTGTCTTTTGTCTGCACCATCTGTTTTTCTCCTTACACTCTATTGTTCAGATTTATGCTTCCCTCTGTCCAGGAAGTATGCCTTTCCATAAAAGCACAGGCCTTAGGTGCTAAAGTGACCGACACAATATTCTAATACTGTTTCCTTCTCTTCCTTCTTCCTAGAATCTTATGGCAAGGGCCTTATACGACAATGTCCCAGAGTGTGCCGAGGAACTGGCCTTTCGCAAGGGAGACATCCTGACTGTCATAGAGCAGAACACAGGGGGACTGGAAGGATGGTGGCTGTGCTCCTTACACGGTCGGCAAGGCATCGTCCCAGGCAACCGGGTGAAGCTTCTGATTGGCCCCGTGCAGGAGAATGCCTCCAGTCATGACCAGCCTGTGTCTGGACTGATGCAGCAGACCTTTAGCCAACAGAAGCTCTATCAAGTGCCAAACCCACAGGCTGCTCCCCGAGACACCATCTACCAAGTGCCATCTTCCTACCAAAATCAGGGAATTTACCAAGTCCCCACTGGCCACGGCACCCAAGAGCAAGAGGTATATCAGGTGCCACCGTCAGTGCAGAGAAGCCTTGGGGGAACCGGTGGGCCCCACAGGGGTAAAAAGGTGAGTAAATGACTGACTACACTTTTGTTCCTACTTTCGTTTTTCCCCGTTGCACTTGGAGCAATAGGAAATGTCTCCAAATAATAACTTGAAACTGCCAAGAAGTAAATATAAACAATACCCTAGCTCAGGTATCATGTTCGCATGATTTTGCCATTCATCAGTCAGCAAAACTTCCTTGAACTACCATGTGCTGAGTATGGTTGATTTCCAGCCATCATAAGTTCCTGTGTCATCCTGGGTTACATGGGTTATTAAACTGTTTCTCTCCATCTTTCTCTTTCCCATAGATCAGCTTCTAAGCCTACATTCTGTGCTCAAATAGTCTCCTACCTTTTCTTTTTCTTTCTTTTTTTTTTTTTTTTTTGAGACAGAGTCTCGCTTGTTGCCCAGGCTGGAGTGCAGTGGCACAATCTGGGCTCACTGCAACCTCCGCCTCCCAGGTTCAAGCGATTCTCCTGCCTCAGCTTTCTGAGCAGCTGGGACTGCAGGCACGTGCCACCATGCCTGGCTAAATGTTTTTGTATTTTTCATAAAGACACAGTTTCACTGTGTTGGTCAGGCTGGTCTTAAACTCCTGACCTCATAATCTGCCCGCCTCGACCTCCCAAAGTGCTGGGATTACAGGCGTGAGCCACTGCGCCCGGCCAGTTTCCTATCTTTTTTATTTCTTCATTGAGGGGAACAGATACCAAATCTTGTACAAGCCTGATGACGCAACAAGGATCCTCCTTTGGCCAAAAGCTGAATCATGACCTCAGTGGCCTAGCTGGATAAGGAACCCACCCACAGTAGTGACAGTGAGGAAGCTGGGAGCAGGTCATGCTGACCAGCTCGTTCTACAGAGTGGTCAGCTAAGTTTGACTCATTTAAAATGCATAGATACTAGTGAATTTGGAATGAAGTCATCCTCCTGTCCTTTAAGCAATTCTTATAATAACATCTCAGACAATGGGTGAAAGCAGTGAAGTTGGGACATTTAGGAGGGAATTAATTTTAAAATATAGTTTGGGGAACTCTGCAACATCCTGTATAATCCCAAATACTCTAGCAATTTGAGATCAACAGAAATCTATTTATTGAACAATGAATGTTGAGCATCCAATATATTTTTGATGCTTGTGATACAGGGATTAATGAGAGAGTCAACAAAGCCCTGGTGATGCTTCCATTGCAGTGGGGGAGACAGAAGCAGCTATGAACATGCCAGGTGGAGACAGGCGTTATGAGGAAAACAATGTCAGTGGACCGATGGGGGATAATACCCAAAACCAAGATGACGCTTATGTGAACATCACAAGAGAGGGATTTTCTCTTTCATTTACTGGCAAATTCCAATGGGTCCTGCAAGGTTTAGTATTAGGAATGAACCAATTTAACTGGATAAGAAACTATCCCTGAATTACAAGAGGAAAGATGCAGGTACCTACCAGAAAGGACTTGTTGACTCTTAGAACACTAACTATAGATGTGCCCTGCTCCAAGTAAATCTAACACAGTCTGATTTTACAAACCTATGTAAATTAGGGAATATCTATTTGATGCTATTAGAATCCTCTCTTGAAAAAACAAAAAGGAAAAAAGATATATTGTTGGATCCCTGTAAACAACAAAAGCACTAATGCATTTTAAAATCACCTTTTATATAAAAAATATGTCTTACAAAATACTCCTCAAGAGCACGCGTGTGGCATGAGCGGAGTGTATGTTCCTTAAGAGGAATTCCTCAAGGGTGGTGCACAGCTTTTAGACTTGTAGTGCGCACGGCAACCATGCCTGGCTAGAGGTGACAGACTGAACTATGGCTTTTCAAAGTTTTCCTTGCCCCGGGGATTCTAGATTCAAAGGGAAAAAGCGAAACCTGGCCTCTATCTCCAGAGGGGAAAAAGAACAGTTGAAAGGTGTAATTATAAATAAGTAACTTCTCTCATTGTTCGTCCTGGTTGTTTGCACCTTAAAAATAGCTCTCCCGCCTCAGAGCCAGTATGAAGCATACAGGGAGGCCAGAACAGGAAATGCTTGGCTGAGAGGCGGTGGGCTCTAAACTTTCATCACAGTTGATTTTGGCAGGAAGGTAGCATGTTTTCCTTTCTAGACTCAACCTTTTCAGCCCCAAGTCGGAGAAGCCTAAGCTTTCAGACTCTTTCCCCTTGCATCTGCTGGGACTGCCCTGCAGGCTTTCCCCAGGGCTCCCCGTCCTTCCAGAGGGCAGAGATTTTCACTCATCTTCCCTTGGATTGATATCAAAGGCTGGGCTGCTGGGGTGACCCTCGGACACTCACACTCCAAGTTTTGTTTTGCTATTTTGTAAGTCTACACTCAGTAGAACATTTTATGTTGAGCAAAAGGTAGATGAGTCCTGCAGGAGGAAATCAACTTCCAAAAACGGCCTGTGCCAGCCCTTCCCGGAGTTGCATCCAGGGCTGAGGAGTAGGTCACGCCTGAAGCATCGCACAGTCAGGGTCTGGGATGGTGACATGGTCAGGATGGGGAGGGCAAGAAGGTGGTCCTGCTATCTTCCCTGCCAAACACCAAGGGCTCTCCACAGTGTCCTGATCCTGGGTCTCTAGGCTGCCTCTCTCCATGTACCCTGGACCAGTGATTCACACTCATGGGAATGTGCTGCCTCTTCCTTTCTTTTCACGCTCTTCCTCACTTCTCTTTTCTCTCTCTCTCTCTCCTGCCTCCCTCCTTCCTTCCCTCTTCCTCCCTTCCTCCCTTTCTTTCTTTCTTTCTTTCTTAGTGGAGATGGTTTAGCTGCTAGGAGGTAATTTTAGCCTTCCAGGCAATTGCAACTGTTTTAAAAAAAACATCTGTCAACATCTTCCTCGGTAGAGATATTCTCAGTGGGTGGGAATCATACTCATGAATGACTTAAGCTTAGGCCCCAAGAGATAATCCCAGTGCACTGAGGACCAGGTGTGGCTTTTTCATTTTTCTGAGTTCACATTTTCCTGACTTGCTTAATAAAGGAGTTTGCTCATTTTCTCTTTAAATTTTTCATCTAAAATGGTGATAAGCCCAGAACTAGATATGCCTGAGAGTTTCAGCTACGGTCCTTAAAAGCTATTGAACAAGAAAATGAGGAGGGGCCGGGTGTGGTGGCTCAAGCCTGTAATCCCAGCACTTTGGGAGGCCGAGGTGGGTGGATCACGAGGTCGAGAGATCGAGACCATCCCGGTCAACATAGTGAAACCCCGTCTCTACTAAAAATACAAAAAATTAGCTGGGCATGGTGGTGCGTGCCTGTAATCCCAGCTACTCAGGAGGCTGAGGCAGGAGACTTGCCTGAACCCAGGAGGCAGAGGTTGCGGTGAGCCGAGATCGCGCCATTGCACTCCAGCCTGGGTAACAAGAGCGAAACTCTGTGTCAAAAAAAAAAAGAAAAGAAAAGAAAAAGAAAGAAAATGAGGCAGTGGAATCTTATTCTGAACCACGGGGGTGGGGTTTAAAAGGTTAATGAGCATAGACTCACCCATAGAAATAGGGAGGGATAGTGAGTTTAAATGCAGATTCCAGGTCTTTCCCCTCAGATAAACTAATCCAGGAGGTCTGGTTTAGGGCCCCAGGAATCTGCATTTTATTGAGCTCCTTGCATAGTTTTGGAGGTGGTATCCTAGGACTAGACTTCGAGAAACACTGTAAAGGGACCATGAAGGGGCTGGGACATGTTCCAATTTAATTATGAATCGGGACTTTCCGTAGTTCAAAATTCCCTTGATATTGCTACAAACTGTGGGCTTCAGAAGTTCTACCCAGCCCGGTTTTTCCTACTACTGAATCACTTAAGGAAAAAAAAAGAAAAAAGACAGTGAATTCTGCCTTCAATCACTTCAACTTTGCTCTCTTGGAAACTCCACCCTCTACCCACCCTCTTGCAGCCCCTCCATACGAACTGACATTCATCACTTATTAAATCAGCGTTTAGAGAAGGAAATATCGTCATAAAATCCCCACCCTTTTAGGAAACAAGCAGACAGCACGAGAACTCTGCAGAGAGCAAGGGCTGGCTTGTTTCTCCATAGCTGTATATGCCTTGGTGAGTCGCTGACCTTCTCCAGGTCTTAGTTTCTTCATCTGTTTAATGGGAATGATCCTAACTACTTCAGAAGGCTGCCGTGAGAATTAAATGGAAACATACAGAGAAAGTCCCTGGCATAGCGCTTAGAATGGCAGGGGCTTAAAACAATGCATTCCCCTAGCCTTGCGTTTCTTTCCTTTCTCAGAGTTTATTTTCCACTGCATCGGCCCTGTTGTGTTTCTTATGACACACCGAAGGCACAAGTGATTTCTTGCTAACACGTATGCTGTGCTTTTTCAGTGTGTGTCTTTCTCTTTGGTTCTACAAGAATTCTGCAAAGGGTGGAAGAGAACTCGCCAAGTTATCTGAAAACCATATATGCCGACACCTTTACTTAATTTCACTGGTCTTTTTCACTCTGGTTTTGTGTGCAGGGCCGTTTTATCCATTAGGCATTGCAGGCAACGAGCCCAGGGCCTATGAGAATGTTTGAGAGCTGAAGAAAAGATCTTTTGCCTCCAAAATATGAAACACAGAAATTGCTAAATATAAATTAATAAACATTGAAACCAATGTCTAGGAAACCATATCATGTTTACCCCATTAATTGTTTTATTTAGGGCTCATAACTATTGTATCATAGTAGAAAACAATATGTAGGTTATATTTTTCTCACTTTGCAAAGATTTCTAAATATGCGTCGTGATTGCCAAGAACCCACAGGCAATCCTAAATTAAATGAGTTACTCATAGTCGAATAATTTGAAAAGCTGAATTATAAAAGAAGAAAAATGTTTTCAATTTTTAACAGCAAAAATTCTACTTAATATGGGATTATGGTTTGGGGTAAATGAAACCTACAAATGTCCAAAACCAAAAGCCCAGAAAGATCTAAAATAGTCTCATTTCAGCCAGGCGTGGTGGCTGATGCCTGTAATCCCAGCAATTTGGCAGGCCGAAGCAGGTGGATCACCTGAGG